CCAAAGATGGACAGAGGTATTGTGGCTGAATGTAAAAGGTTGAGTTCCGTGCGTTGAAATGGCCCGAGAGGAATTTCTCTACAAAAAAAAAATAATTGTGGGGATGGCTGTCCTATTTATATGTTTTGAATTTAATAAAATAGACTATTGTCTTGGCCTGAGTGATGTCATTTTGCAGCAAAGAAGATGCAATCCAAACCCAACTTAACTTTGATGTCGATGTGATGATCTCGCGCGTGATGTGGTAACACGAGAAAAAGCTCGCATTATTTTTTTCTGTCACCACAGTGCAATAAGTTGCGGGACTATGAACTATATTCCCAATAAAAAATGAATAAAGGTATTTTTTTCTTACACAGAAAATAACTACTTTAAAAATATGTAGTAATAGTAAAAGGATTTTTACATTGTAACTTAATATTTTGCTTTGTAATAAAATAATATTTAGCTAAATTCTATAAAGGTAAATAAATATTTTACAAAATAAACTTATCAAGCAAGACATCATCTATATAGTTAAATAATTTTTTTATATTTATTTATAATAACCAGGGAGTAAGTATTATTATGTTATAAATTAACTTTTACAAAATAAACTTTATCAAACATCATCTAATTAATTAAATTTATTTTTTATTTCTTTATAATAACTAGTTGGTAAGTATTATATTACAAATTAACAAAATAAACAAATTATTTTTTATTTTAATAGATTGCGAGTATTATATTATAAACTTTATCAAAACATCATCTAATTAAATATTTTTATTTTTATTTCATAGGGAGTAAGTATTATATTATAAATTAACTTTTGCAAACACAAAATAAACTTTATCAAAAAATCATCTAATTAAATATATCCCTTTATAATAACCAGATGGTAAATATTATATTATAAATAACTTTTGCAACACAAAATAAACTTTATCAAAACATCATCTAATTAAGTAAATTTATTTTTATTTCTTTATAACAACCAGTTGGTAAGTATTATATTGTATTATAAATCAATTTTTATAATTTTTATATCTAATCAATAAGTTTATTTTTTTTATTTATAATAACATCATCTAATTAATTTTTTTATAATAAATAACCAGGGAGTAAGTATTATACTGTATTATATATCAACTTTTATAATTTTTATATCTAATCAATGAGTTTATTTTTTAATTTACAATAACAAGTTGGTAAGTAGCAAAGTATATTTATTATAAATTAAACTTTATTAAAACATCATATAATTAATAAATCTTCTAATAACCAGGGAGTAAGTATCATATTATGAAATTAGCTTTTACAACACAAAATAAATTTTATCAAAACCTTGTCTAGTTAAATAATTTTATTTTTTGTGTTTATAATAACTAACAATTGAAGGTAAAATAATTTATAAACTTATCTTTTTTATTATCTTGAAAAATAAATCTATTTTATTTTTAATTTTTTTATAATGAAATAATAAGATAACGCTAAGGTGTTTAAAGAAAGAAAAGAAAGATATAGAACCTGTTCTGTTTGTGCAAGATATAATACTAATTACCAGTGGTGTCAATCATGTGATCCCAAATTGTTAGCTCAA